GTATATATGGAATCAGGGAAAGCTAAATCGTGGACATTCTTAATCGAATATACTCTATATCTTTAGCAGAAAAAAAGGCAATTTCCATAAAATCCGTTCCCTGGTCATAATCCATACGTGAAGAACAAAGAAAGACTTTAGCGTTTCTGCGCATTCCACCCATTTTCTGGAAGTATATATTCAGATTTTTGCATGTATATTCAGCATTAGACCGTATAACACTATTTGGAACTTCCTTGGTTAGCTTCTGGTTGAAAAAATCCAAATGGCCGCACAATGATATCAGACGGCCACACACTCGGCTGCCCTAATCCTACAGGAAAAGGGGCACACTTAGGCCACCATGGGCCCGTTGTGGTGCCGTACAAGAGACTCCATATGTCCCTCCTCTTACCCTAGTAATGGAACCACTTCGTAGCTCTGATGAAGCGCACAAAGTCATAGACGCTGGCTGAATCCAGTTCGGTGAGACATTCAAAAGAATAATGGAGGAACGAGCGTTGGCGAGCTCTCGCCAGAGCAGGACAGCGGCATAAGTAATACTCCACGCTTTCGACTTCCTCCTCATCGCGGCAGCTACGACAGTAGTCGTTTGAACTCCAATAACATGCCGCAGCAGTGGTCGCTCCAAGTGGGGGAAAGGGCGAGATCTATGCTTGTCAAGCTTAGGCCAGATATAACTTGCTATCCTGCAAGTAGGCTCCGCAGACCATCTTATATTAGCCCGTCCGACAAAGTTATTTTCCAGCCAGAGCTTGCAAGAAGATAGCGGAATGCCCGCATTACGGGCTGTACTGATTGCAGACAACAAGGTTCCTTCCCTTGCTAGTTCATCCGCCGTACAGAAAATATTGTAACCGCCTTCAGATTAATTAGAGAATCGATCAACCAACTTGCAGCTTCATTTATTGCTGTTAGTTTAGCCTGAAAAACGCTGCATAGATCTGGCAGACGAAAACTGAGGCTAAGTGAGAGTTCTTGCGAGTATACCCCACTTCCTACCTTCATATCCAACTTGGAGCCATCAGTGTAGATGGCTGTTGAGTCAGAATACGATATTAGGACCGAATCCTCCTCCCATTCTTCCTTTGAGGGGATCCTTGTCTGGAAATGTCCCGTAGTGTAGTCCAGGCGCCTAAAGTCCTCTGGAAGATCTTCCAAAATTCTAGAGTGACCAAACCTCGTGTCACTCCATTTGATTAGTGCAATTAANCTAGAGTGCCCAAACCTCGTGTCACTCCATTTGATTAGCGCATTTAATCTAATAGCATTACAGCTTGCCTGTAGTTTACCATATAGGTCCACAGGTAGCAAGTGAAGCAAGGTCTCTAGGGCTTTAGTAGGCGTCGATGGTAACGCTCCTGTGATCATCATGCACGCCATCCTTTGGACCGCTGTTAGTTTGTTTCTTATTGTAGATTTATCTACGGACGGATAGAATGGGACGCACAACCGCTGTGTACATCCAGTTCACAATGTGAGGCTTCAATCCCCATTTTTACCCAATCGCCGATTTAAAGGCATACATAGCAGTTATAGCTTTCTTGCAGCGCTCTTCTATATTGCGCCGCCAAGTTAACTTTTTGTCAAGAATAACGCCCAGATATCTAACCTCCTCCGAGAAAGTCAGTGCGATACCGTTCAAGGAAGGAGGTTGTAGCCGGACAGCTTTCGTTTTCTTTGAAAACGGAACCATGGCCGTTTTTGCCGGATTGACACTAGGTCCTACTTCTTTGTACCAGGTATCCACGACGTGTAAGGCGCCTCGAAGTAAGTCACATAGAACGGGGGGGGGGCTTACCAATTGACGTCAGGGCAAGACCATCCGCGTAGGCAATGACTTGGCAACCTGTACCTTGCAACCGTGACAGCAGGGTATCCATCGTTAGATTCCAAAGAAGTGGGGAGAGAACACCGCCTTGTGGGGTTCCGCGATTCGCATATCTTGTTATGGATACCTCCCCCATCTCCAAATAAATAGCTCTACTGCCTAAGAGGCGATGAACAAACTCGACCATAGGGTGATCCAGCCCAAGGCGAGTTAGGGCTTGAAGAACCGCTCCCGGGAGAACATTATTGAAGGCACCATCGATATCTAGGAACACGCCTAGTGCAAATTCCTTAAAAGCGAGAGCCTTTTCAATGGTGCTGACAATACTATGCAAAGCTGTATCCACAGCATCTACCTTTCCAGTAGGCGTGCTGACAGCTAGAGATATTATTTACATCAATTTCCTGTCGGATCTGCGAGTCTAGAAGTCTTTCCAGAACCTTGAGAAAGAAAGAAGTAAGGCATTTCGGTCGAAAGTCACTTGGTTAAGGGTCTACCTCCCTTGGGAATAAACACAACTTTCGAAAATCTATTTCCACGAAACAATCGAAGAAAATATCCGCAGTGTTGCCTGTTGAACTTTTTTTACGAAGACAATATTTCTCGTAGTTTAGTAGTAGTTTGTATAAATCAAAAAAGAAAGCAACACAAGCTAAGGCAGAATGCGGGAGCGAGACCACTGCCAAGTTATCCATCCTTGTATTATTGAATCATGATATCCAACCATGGTGGAATAATACCAGGTGAAGTAATAAGAGCGAGAAGCATGAAACAAAAAACAAGGTAGTTCCATTGTCACTTTTTCGTCGTTATATTAACAACCTGACAATTAAGCAGATTGTGACATTTCGTGCTACCATACCCAATATCTAAAATCCTTCATATTTTCTTATTAATTTTGTGTCGATTTAAAAATATTTTGTTCTTAAGCATAGTATTTTGTTCCTGTTTCACATGAAAAAGCTGTCAAATTGCATATAAAATTTCTTTCTGTGAAATAAGTGTGAAATTCCATATTTCCTCAGCAAAGAAGTATTCTGTGCACGCTGTGAAAAAGCTTGCAACATTTTAGCAACATGAAGCTAGCAACACAATTTTCATGACATTTTTAAATACACATGTAAATTTTAAATTGTGTGAAAGCTGACAGTTTATAGCATTCAGCAGCATCGAAAACAAAGGCGGGTTAAGTGGTTAAACCTTGCCCAAGCGGATTGTAAAACTTGCGACGCAATTTCAGCTTATCCCTGTGGGTCTTGGCAAGAATGTAATCTCTCAAGGTTTAGCTTAACATGGTTCTAGGGATACACCCTGTGATCACGTTACTTTCCAGAAGGTGTCGCGCCAGTTTTTCTGTACATATTTCCATTGGGAAAATTCCTCATCTCAGTATTCTAGGTAAATGCTTCCAGAGGAATCTATGCGTCAACAGGAATTTTAGTTTATATGCTCTTATCAATGGCTACCAGATCGTGTTCATATACCCCATTTTTCATAGGTTTGGGATTGATTTCATTTACCTATATTCCAAGTTATACGTTGGCACGCCGGATTTTCCAATAAACCCATATTTTTCCGTGAGCTTGAGATTGACTTCATATACATATATCCATACCAAGCTCCAGGACTCTACCACAAATACTTCCAGAGATATGCACTATGAAAAATTCGATTTGTATGGGAGGTTCCACACCCCCTTTAGATATCAGTTTTGTTTCAGCCTATAACCATTCTTAGAAAATTTGTGTCCGAATTTAAAAAAAAAATCGGTACAGCCGATATGGGCATTGTGACTCCTCAAGCGAAATGAACTAATGATTGCAAAAAATGAAATCAAACGTCGTAGTTGACCAAAAAAGTATGTTAGACTTCATTCTCTTAACTTCTCAGAATGTGGAAAAGCAAAGAAATATATAATAAGATAGGATATATTAAAACAGCCGCCAAAACATTTACCAAAAGACGCCCCTGAACTACACAAATCAGTTTGGTTGAAAATTTGTTTTTATCTATTTATTTTATACTTCATTTTGTGTGTGTAAAAATTTTATCTGAAAACAATATGTGTTGCAGGAAAAATTTCACGGCCTATGTATATTCCATTTGCGTTAAACTGACCAAGACAATATGTATTAAATAACACATCGAAATGTGTAATTTCAGTGCCTGAATTATATCAGAATCATCATAACCGATATAGAAAACTACATTGAGAAATAATCACCTGACATGAGGACACTAAAAAGACTAAAATATGTTCACTAAAATATGTTCACTAAAATTGTATTAATATTAAAATAATAATTTGGCAAGTTGTTATCGAATTTAGTGTAAAATTTAAGCGTTTTTAAGATAAGATATTAGTTATTTTTAAAAGGTAAATATTAATACAACTATTTTATTTATATTCCCAAATTTAGGATATAAAATCTCCCACACCATACAACTTACAAATGGGTAACGCCGCTTCGAATTTTTCACAATTGAGCAATTGTCAAAAATCTGCTTTTTAATCAAAAAGTTGTTCATTGAAACTACCTTCTTATTTGTATCATGGCGAGAAGGAAGATTTGACACTACCTTATTGGAAGTGTTCACCCCTTGAATTTTTTTAAAGGGTAAATGCCAGAAATATTAAAAAGAATTACCCTTTTTGACTACACCTTTTGTAATTGATGTTTTTCATTTAACACATATACATACATAATATTAAAAATTACTTTTGAAAATAATGTAGCCATTTAAATTAACAAAATTTAAGCATAATTTATTATTTTTTATTCAAATTAGATATGTAGAAGCTAAACAATTTTGTGGATTACGCTTGTATTTAGTATTGAAAGACAAACACTAACAATAACAAAGAGCTTTAAGGATTTACAGTAAATGTAATAAATAATAATTAGAAACTTAAATAAAGATTTTGACGCTAAAAGAGTAATGTGATGTACTAACTCCACGGAATAGTTCGCACAAAGAGAAGCAATCAAGAACGTAGATACTGAAGACCACCCAGATTGAGAAGTGTCTACCCAGCAAACACAGTCTCTAACGTTAGAGAAATTTGGATTTCTACATTAGATAACTAGGGTAATTCTCTAATCGTTCTCGAGTCGATGACGAAGTTAGAGAACTACATTAGAATTCGATTCGAGAACGATTAGAGAAACAACGCAAATTCAAATAAATGTAAATAAGAAATATTCCAAATGAATGAATCGTAAATTATTTTTAAGTTCAAATAATTCATTATTATTTTATTAGAAATACATTTAATACAAATTTTACAAACAAAGCGTTTTATTTGATAAAGCAAAAGAGCAGTTTGAAGTTCACATTCGAATCCCAGTAGAGATCAACATTAGAATTCGATTAGAGAGTTAATATTTTCTCGAGTCGAGAACTATGTACATATGTCCCATTTTAGTTGAGATCGCTATTATTCTCGATAGTTTTTCGAGTCGTTCTCTAACGTTTGAGATTGGAGAACGTGGCTAGTTCTCCAATCATTGTCTAATCGATAACTAACCTCAATGTTTGCTGGGTATATCATTCTAGATGAAAAGTCCAACTGCGGTTTCAAAACACCATGTCAATGGCGCACAAACTGATATTTGTATGCAAAAAAAAAATGTTAATATGGGGAAATTAGTAAAAAAGATTTTTCACAAATAATACTTCAAGGACTCGCCGACAAATGCATACAAAAACCCTAATAAAAGTAGCCAATGCAGTAACCAATTAAAAGTGACAGTTTATGCCGTACAACTCGATGTCTTGAGGCAAAAACACTTTTCAAAATGGTGAAATTTGTAATAAAGATTTGGCACAAAGAATACTTTCAAGGACTCACCGACGGATGCATAGACAAATCTTGATAAATTTATGAAGAGATAAATTAGATACATGAAATCAGCAACGTGAATACAAAAACGCAACACGTGATATTAATGGCAGCCCTGCCAGATATACGGATTTTTCCGTACGGTACGGATTTTCAGGGGTGAAAATGGTTGTACGGATTCAACCTACGGATTTTTAGCTTTCCGTGAAGATTTACGGATGTTTGGTGTGTTTTTTTCATAATTTGCCTATTTTACACATATCTAATAGGTTTCTTATAGTTCCTGAACCCTCGATTATTTTATAAAAAATCCGCTATTTTCATCCTTGAGAGACTTATCTATTAACAGCTTGTCTATTTTTCACCCGATTTTACAAATGAAACACGATCAGAGGATTTATAGGCCTTTAAAATTACGTATATCCAGTCGTTTGTTAGAGACTTCGTGTTGTTGGGAGTTTTTGTCGCGTAAAATTAAAAAAACCCTAGCTTTTTCTAACTTTAACCATCGCTTCAAACATTATACTGTTACTCGGTAGGGTCGACAACTCACCTGAAAAGTTTTGTTACATATATACTACGTTTATGCGTAGGCTAATTCACGAATTCATTTCATGAATTTGGGTTAAAACTGGCTGCATAAACACCATTTCATGAATTCAATTATACACGAAAGTTAACCATGAATTCGGCATCATTTCATGAAATCGTGAAGTGCAAGTCCGGCAACGCCACGTTTCACAAACAGCGATTTACTAGGGCTATGATGTTTTTAGATTAAAAAGCATGAGTGGCATAACCAGGATTTAAAACACTGGAAAAGTTGTGTGTAAAATAAATTCAATTTGAATAAACTGAAAATATATTAAAACCAATTTAANCAAAATGTAGGTTAAATATAATATCAATACTTAATTAAGAATAATATCAATAGTACAGTACATAATTATTGCCTGTGTTTCATTAAACTGGAAACTCAAATCGTAATTATAGCACTGGATGGAGTTTTCTTAAACGTATATTTAAAATTAATAAAATATCCATTGTAAGATTATATTTTTATAAAAAACGTGAAATTTGTGAATTTATCATGGAAAATTCTAAATTTCCGAATATATTTAAGTCTTTATTCCAAAACAAATCAAGGTTGGTATTGTTATAGAGACTCTAAAGGGCCATTCACATACAACTTTCCTCGCTTTGCTTGACAATTCAAACTTTGACAACAAAGCGTGGAACGCAGAAGGTATGTTACAATAAACGCTTTGACAGCTTTTGCGTTCTCCTTTTCCTCCATATTTTTTAACTGTAAAATAGATAACAATATAATAATATGCATTAATAATAGCAATAAAAATTCCTACTTACCTTATTTATGTCATTAAATGCAAATGCAAGCGCACGAGAAAAGATACATGTAGACAGCTGAAAGCCCGAAAGCGGGCAAAAGTTGAGAGTTGCCCAAGATTTTGGTTCGTTTTGCTTTGCTTTGTTTCAAACGTTTTTTATGTGAGCATACTCATGCAAATGCCTACATCGATCTTATATGTCAAAGCAGAGAACTATCAAGCAAAGCGAAGAAAGTTGTATGTGAATCAGCCTTAAAGCCTGCCAGCGCATCCGCCCAGAGAGCTCATTAAGCACACCCAAGTTTGAGCGACCAATACCCGGAGC